TGTGTAATAAAATTACCGTACTTAGTCATTATTATCGTCTAATAATTCTAATCTAAGAAGCTTTCAATTTAAAAATGTTTCCATTTAGAGAACATGGCCAAACTTAATATTACCATATTTAATCATTATTAATTTATTACGGTGTGATTATGTTAAGAAAATAAGCTTTCAATTTAATTATGTTTCCATTTAGAGATTCGGTGCCAAATATTTTATGAAGAAAATTAAATATATAATTTTATGCATTTAAGGAAGGCACAATTAAAAAAATCAAAATAAAAAATAATAAAAGAAATTAAATATAAAAAAATGTCAAAGTAATACATAGAAATTGTGGCACATATGTTAAGTATTGAATGTAGAAATAATAACTAAATCATAAATTACTTTGTAGCAAGAATAGATCATGTATTACCATGTAGAAAAAATAATAATACTAATATACCGTGCAATAATATTAATGTATTTAATCATTATTAATTTATTGTCGTGAAAGAAGAAGAAGAAGAATAATAATAATATACCGTGTAATAATATTATCGTACTTAGTTATTATTATCGTGTAATAATTCTAACCAAATAAGCTTTCAATTTAATAATGTTTCCATTTAGAGATCCAAGCCCAAACGTTTTATGGAGACATCGTTTTAAGAGGCGTGCCTTTAATACATGGAAACATATTAAATAATATATACCTTTATATGTTGAACAATCAACCACTAATTAATAACTTACCCGAAAAAAAATTAGATGCATGGAAATAGAAAAATACTTTAATTTTTTCATACTTTAAATACAATCATTCTCAATCACTCTCTTGAGTTCTTAAATAAGATTCATGCTTTCAGAGTAGAAAATCATGAAGAAGTCTTTAAATAAATAAATGTTTTAAAAGTTTGATATATAAAAATTATACGAGTAATGTAGTTTATAAAGAAGTCCTTCGTTATTTGTAAAACAATTAACTTTTGTACCTTAAAATAATAAAATCTTTATATTCTACTCCCTCCGTCCCGAAAGAAGTTCCCTTATTGACTTTTTGGAAAATTAAGGGAGGGATATTTTGGTGTTGACTTTCTAAAAACACCCTTGATAGATGTGATTGATAAAAGTAAGATGTGATAGATAGATTATTAGTAAAAAGGTATGATGTGATAGGTAGGGTATAAAAAAGTAAGGGGTAAAAGTAGTCTTTTAATAGAAAAAGAAAGGAGTTTGAGGTACAAAGAAAAAATGAAAGGGGAAGATGTTTCAGGGAGGGAGGGAGTATTAGATAAGAAATTGTATCCTTCAAGAGGGAGAAAGACCAAAGTATGACTAAAACATTGAAAATATACTAAAATAGGATTTCCATGTTTTTATTCCCGAAATAGGACTTACATTACCAAACATAGTCATATACATTACCAAAAAAGTATAGTAATTTGCACATGTACACTGCCACATTACCACAATGCAAAGTCACATTACCACAGTGCAAAGTCGTATTCCGGAAAAAAAAACATGAAAGTTTTATTTTGGTACTTTTCTCTATGTTTTAGTCTTATTTAAGATGATTTCTACCTTCAAAAATGATCTTAATTTAGTAATATAAGTATGACCTGTGCAACGCACGGGGGGAGTGATGCTAGTCTGTTGTAAATGAGATCTTGAATGCGTCCGTTTTGGAACCTTTGATTTACGGAGTACTTTTTTTTCTTCTTCAAATTTGGGACTCCATACCTGATATTTCCTGGATCTAGTAACCTCAATATATCCATCTACGGGGGGAAACTACGCAGACGAAGAGGGAGAGAAATATAGAGAATGCTGCATATGCATCGCTCTGCATCTTCCCTTCCATGCCCGTACTCTCCGAGGCCAACACTGTTAACCTTTTTTCCATCTCAACTGTGCTTCAACCTGAGGCTAGTTCTTCTGTATGACTTTTTTTAAATATATAATTTTCTTTTCATCCCCATTTGGGCACTCATAATTTGTATTTCATTTCCCCCCTCAAATATCTGATTTAGAGCCAGGAAGGAGCAGAAGCTCTCCGTGTCGTGTGACTTCTCCTGTTTCCAAGTATGTTGCTTCTTTACAACTACCGTACTACTGCTTATCTTCTTCTTTTAGTTATTAGGTTTACTGTTACTCCGTATTATTTCATAATTTTGCTCTGCTATGCTCGAGAGTTTAGATTTAACCTCCATCCCTAATATTACATCCTTCCCAATAGAAGTCATATATGGTCAATCTACAATTTTTAAAATTTTATAAAGTACAGTGGCCATAAACTATCCAAGTCAATATTATAAACTCATTTAGTAGGTTAACTAAATGTATCATAGCCATCACTAGGAGTATCCATTGCGAAGGAGTAATTTGTGGCGAAAATTTACTTGTCTATTCTAATGTCCAAGATGACCAAATATATAGGGAGATAGGGTTCAAATACAAGGAAAATACAATATATTCAAACAAATACAATGAATAGACTCTTCGAATGCCAACCCTTCGAATCCTTGTCTGTTTGCATCCTTAACACCCCCCTCTAGTTGGAGCATGTAGCAAAGAAATGCCCAATTTCGGAGTGAGAAATTACATACGTGTCTTCCCCTATGCCTTTGTATATCCGCCAAATGTTGTGTTGTAGACACATGTTTTGTTTTGGTAACTCCGCGCAAAAGCTCATCACGAACAAAATTGTTGGGTGGGTCCCTCCAAATAGAGGACCTACATGTAATATTTCTTCACAAAGCTTAACAATTAAGCTAAAGAAAAAGAATGGAGAAGCAGGCACATCACATGCGGCGGCCAAAGGCTAAGAAGAAAACTTAGACTTTTAAACTTGGTTTTGATCAAGTTGTGTGGCGGTTGAGAGTTTGAGGCGGCAATGGAATTGCATGGCGGTGGAAAGTCTCTTATAAAAGGACTTCTACACCTTAGTTTGTATGGATATGATGGTGGTGAGCTAGAGAGAGCCCCCATGGAGAGATGGTGAGATGAGCTCCCATTTATGGAAGAGGCTTGACTCCTCTAGCTTCTAGAGAGAGTCTAAAATTGTGTGTGTTGAGGGAGTAGGCTCTGCACCAATTTTAGAATGAGAGTGTAATTTGTTGAGAGAGTGCTCCAGAATTACTTGTGTGTGTCTTAGAATTAGTTGAGTGCTCTAAACACTTTGTGCGAGGGTTTTACAATTTGTCTGTTCAAAATTGTACTTGTATTCTAAATATAAATAGAGAGTTGTTGTGGATGTAGGTTTATTGAGAAACCAAACCACATCAAAAAATATTGTGTGTTCTTATTTTCTCTTCTGTGTATATTATCTTGAATAAGGGAAATTACTCTTGTTCTTTTTTCCCAACAAAAATGACAATCAACTTTAATATGTTTCTTACGTTTGTGGAAGGCTGGATTTGCTGCATTATGAACAACATTATTGTCACAGCAGATACACATAGGTGGTATGTGACACATTCCAAGAGAGCAAAGCAGAACCTTTAACCACTTCAATATACAGGTGATTGCTGCCAATGCTCGGTACTCTCCCTCTGCCAAGGAACGAGCCAGTGTTTTGTTTCTTAGTCTTCCAAGAGACAGGAGAATCTCCAAGTTAAACAAACCACCCGTTCAAAGATATTTGGGTCAGAGGACAAGCTGTCCAATCACAAATTCACAATCACACAAACCAGTCAACTAAAGATTATTCTTAGAAGAGAGGGAATACCTTGAGCCTTGAACGGGACTTCCTTTCAGATAGTGCACAACTCCTATTGCTGCTTTGTAGTGATCGTCACGGGGTTCTTTCAAAAATTGGGCTAAAGTGTGAATGTAGTCCAGCTCCGGTCGAGTTATGGATAAATATACTTGAAATCCCACTAACAAACAATATGGTTCTGGATCGGCAAGCAATGGAGCTTCAGATTATGCAAGGTGATGATTGGGTTCCATAGGTGTACCCAGCAGCCGTGCACCGAGGAGACTTGCGTCAAAGATAATATCAAGGGCATACTTCCTTTGACACAAGAAGATGCCAGAGGAACTTCGGGCGACCTCGATGCTTAGGAAATATTTCAACATTCCAAGATCTCTCATATGAAAACACGAGGCCAAGTACAACTTAAACTTGTCAATTAATGCAGTGTTGCTACCCGCGATAATAATGCCCGAACACCTAAAAATTTTTCACATACTTGATAAATCAGACTACACATTGGAACTTTAACAACCACGGGGTCCTATTTTTGTACTCCCTTCGTCCCTATTTGTTATGCTTGTTATTCTTTTTGGTCCGTTTACATTTATTGTCCATGTTTCCAATTATAGAAAATATCACGTGGTTTATAGAGTTTCTCTCTTTACCTTAAATCTCAATCATATGGTTTACTTTTATTAATCACTATTTTTAATTAATAATTTGTACGCAACCAGAGTGAGGACAACAAATTGGAAGGATGGAATAAGTATTAGGGCAACAAACTTAGTTCAAAAAGGGTGATGCTGAAAATCAAGTAGTTGAAGTGTCACAGAGAGAATGCTCATTTCAGGCAGTTAGCATCTGGAATCAGATTCTTTTACCACTGTACTAAAGAGGACGATAGTGATGGTGCTCGTGATCATGATAGCATTCCCTGGCTGTTGTGTATGGCCAAACCGAGTGAACTGGCAATAAAAACAAGGATCATGTTTTAACCAATGTTCTAGAGGTTCAACATATTTACCAAAAGGGCTTGTTTAACAGACAACCTTATTACTATTCTTCTTCAACATACCTGATTATAAGCTCTTGAGTTGAATTAAGTAATCGATTGAATTCAATCTTTTAATGTGGTTTAACCCAAGTGTCTTACTGCCTAGTCCATTAATCCCTGTCCCATCCTAAATTCTATCACACGGAAGTAACCTAACTTCCATCTGGCAAACTGGCAAACTAATATTGCAGGGGTCTGCCCCCCTAATGTTACTCAACAAATTAGTATTTTCTGTCATGTGGTATGATGCCCCTCTATCAATTATCCAATGAGGTGATAAAGAATTACCAGACAGCGATTCATGAAGTGTTGAACCTATTGGAGATAGAGACAAGGCATGACGCACTGTGTGCCATTGTTCAGGGGTAAGGTTGTCAATCATAATCTGGGAGATCTGCAAGAGAATCATTTGAGGAAGTGGCAGCGTAGGCTGTCACCCGCTGCCCACTACTGTTCTGTCCACGACCAGCGCTCCTGCCGGCATGACCAGTCGACCACCACCGAGGCTACTTCCGCGACCTCCTCCTCTGGTCCCTCGCCCGCTGTTTCGACCTCCGGACCATCCTTCTGGTTAGCCTATCAATTTGAAACACACATCAAAAGAGTGTCCAGGCTTCTTGCAGTGGGTGCACGAAATTTCCCCGCACACCTGGGTTATCGCTAGGTGAAAGATTGCAAGGAGAGATACAATGATGTCATGGAAACATGACATCATTGTCATCAAAATGATCATCCTTCTTGTCCGTCAGTAACATCAGAGAAGGAAAGAGGGTGACGTTGTGGTGGCTCACAACGGTGAGCAACAACGGCGTGCACACTCAGCTCTGATACCATGTATCGCAGGAGTAATTTGTGGGGAAAATTTACTTGTCTATTCTTATGTCCAAGATGACCAAATATATAGGGTACAAAGGAAAATACAATGTATTATGTATTTATGTATACAAACAAATACCAATAAATAGACTCTTCGAATGCCAACCTTCAAGTCCTTGTCTCTTCGCATCCTTAACAATATCATATCCAGTGTCTTAACTTTTAACTAAATGAATCATTTGAAACGGTTTTGTGGCATTTTTTGACAAATTACACAAAACATTAGCTTTAGATTGATCAAATTAGACTCTCTTTAAGATAAAACTGACAGATCAAATAGACTCTTTTTTTGGAAAAATAAAAAGAGTGTGAAGAAGATTATTATGATTACACACACACACCTTCCTCTTTTTCATCTTTCTACTTTCCTTTTTGAGTTGTAGCTAAAAAAAGTTCTCATTTCTTTTCAAGGAAAGAATTGTGTGGTTCAACCACACAAGACTATAGAAGGACACCTGGTGCTTAGACTGCCTAGCCGGCGTCTAGGCGATATCTAGGCGGAAACTAAAAATAGGTTGTGTTTACATATTTGCTTTATACGATTGTTGAAATTTTTAAAAATAAAATATAAATTTAGCTAACATCAATTAATGTGTAACAAAATATTTTATTATATGTATGATTGCATTTTAACTGTTGTACATCTATCTTATCACAATATAAAATATTGTGCATCAAATGCTTTACAGATTAACGAATTAACATTCACCAAATACAAAATTAACACATTTTATGTAATATCTCTATTATTGAGTTATTACCCTCTATCATATAAAATGTTTAATAATAAAAAAATCATTTTACTTTTGCAGTGGGACCCTTCCTCGGACCCCCGCTTGCGGGGATGCTTTTTGCACCGGATTGCCTTTTTTTAGCCAAATTAAATAAAATTTGAAATTATAGCGGGAGCTATCCCACCCCTCGGACCACCTAGCCTACCGTTTACAACAATGAACCCACACATTTTCACCTTTCTCAATTTCCGTGCAATAGTAAATAAGACTATTAAATTGAAAAGGAATGCTATTTAGGAACGAAGGGAGTATATACTTTTTATGGAGGGGGCAATGAAGGGAGTACTTATCAATCCCTTTTTTTCATACATTCGGTTATACTATTTGCAGATAAAAGATGTCACTTATCAACCTTCTGGGACAAAGCTCACCCTCTTAGATCAAGTCAATTTCTCCCTTCGTCAAAAAAGGTACCATCCGCCTTTTGTTTTTGTTTAATATGGACACGGTATATTATATCAAACAATTGTATATTTTTTCTCATGCCAATTCTGCATTAATGAAACGTTAGGGGTGAAAGCCCCTACATTTCCTAATTCACCCATGCATTGAAGCAAATTTGTGTAATGAAAAAATCAATTTCTTATTTCAAAATCCCCTTGAGCTACTAGTTTTGTTTATCATACCTTTCCAAAATTTTCACCTTATTTCAATTTTGATTCAATACTTTTTAGGCCAATTCAATATGTATCATTTCAATGCATAAAATCATTTTTAATTACACTTTACATAATTACATCAAAAAATACTCCCTGCGCCCGGAAGTTCACTTCCCAAGTTGACCCGTGTGCTTTTTTAGGCTTGTTAAAAACTACATTGACTATCCTAAATTTCCCTTCTATAGTATTTCTAGATCTAGGAGTTCAAATTCCATCATCGTCTCCGCTCTATGGGATTTTCACTAGGTCGGTTGTTTTGAATTATTGGTTGATATTTTTTTGTTGCTATTATGAACTTCAAATAGTTACAAATGGATAATTTAGAATGTTGTGTTGCTGTGGTCTGTGTGGCCTTTATGTCATGGCTTCGAGGCCAGGAAGCAGCCTCCTGCAAAAAAAGTGCAAAGTATGGTTTGCTTACATTACACCCTTGTGGTGGGACCCTTCTCCGGACCTTGCTCAGTGGGGATTCTTTGTGTACCATGCTTCCCTTTTTTATTCATTCAAACTCGGTTGTTGGTACTCGGAAATGATTCCAATTTTTATAGGTTTTTTATGATAAATAAACTACTATAGAAATAAGTATCTTCGTAAACTATAATTGTTGCAATAACTTTAATACAGATGCTTATTAAAATTTGATAACTAATGTCAAGCAAAATTTATTGATATAATTATCTTCTCAAATATAAGTTTAAGATATATTGATTCCAAACTCTATATAGTTATTTAATTTGAATATAATTAAAATCCATGTCGAATAGAAATTAAAATAAAAATTTTCAACTTTATGTTCCAACACTTTTCTGTGTAGTTCATTTCATTCCAAAAGCAGAGAGTCACTATAAATGCTTTTAAGAAACTTGCTATAATAAGACCACTTACATGTGGTGATTGTAGTCATTCTGTATATAATCTAGAAACTCTAGCATTTCCTTGGTAAATACCTTACGTGTTGATAATATATTTTTGTGAATAGTTAATTGGCATGTGTTGTGTTTTTATTTCCACTTTTTCAGTTGTGGCTTGATTATTGGACGGAGTGGAAGTGGGAAAACTACTCTCTTGCAAGTTTGTGTTACTCTTCATCTGCAACTCTCTTGTCTCATTATATCCTTGTGTTAAACTTCTGTGCAGCTGATTGCAGGACTAAACAAGCCAACATCAGGTTCCATTCACATTCAACAATATACTGATGATGGACAGCCATGTAAGTGTCCTGAACCATTAAACCCTAGAAGCGTTGGCATTGTTTTCCAATTTCCTGAGAGGTACGGCTTTTTACATCTGTTACCACATCAAACTAAACACCACTGGAAATTTAATTTAGCTCTTCTTTTTTGCATTATCTTTATTTTATAAAATTGTGCATGTTATTAGCTATGGTAAGGTCTCTTGGAAACTGCCTCTACTTTCGAGTAGGGGTAAGGTCTGTGTACCCACACCTCCCCGGACCCTACTCCCATGGGATTGTACTGGGTTATTGTTGTTGTTATTAGCTATGGTAAATGTATGAGCTGATATTATGTGATTAATGACTTGTACTGTTGGCACTTGAAATTTTTAAGTAATGAACCTTTTGCTATGATGTCAACTAGATACTTTGTCGGAGAGAGTGTGCTTGATGAAATTACATTTGGTTGGCCAAGACAAAGAGGCACCCATCATGCTTCAAAGCTCCAAAAGGCTCTTGGTTTGGTAACATATTTCATTTTGTCCTATGCATTTGTATTGCTTTTAATTCAAACATGCTAGAGAGAGAGAGATGGTTGCTCTTGACCATATCTTTTTTTTATTCTATCTATACTATTAGGTTGGTCTGACAGGAATTCCTCTGGATAAAGACCCCAACTCATTAAGTGGGGGCTACAAACGACGGCTTGCTTTAGCAATTCAGTTAGTAAGAATTCTTTTAATTTGGTAGTGCTTCATTTCTTTGGGCTGAAGCATGTCTATCTTGCATTCTTCTTCTTCTTCTATATGTTTGTGATAAGCTAAGTGTTCAATTTTTGTCAACGCATGCATAGGTTCAAACACCTGATTTGTTGGTTTTAGACGAGCCTCTCGCTGGTCTTGGTATGGCCATTCTGCTCTCTCCATCGAAAGAGCATTCCCCGTGATGTCAATATCCACCAAATTTCATATTGATATTCGGATGGATAGAAAAAAATTAAGTTATTAATTTTTTTCATCTTAAATATTAATCATGATATGGACTTTGTTTTTCTCAAATTTGCATGGAAGTACAAAACTATATTTTTCTTATTTTATTTGCTCATTAATTATTCATTTGCTTGTGCTTAAATGAAGACTGGAAGGCTCGTGCGGACATTGCAAAGTTGCTAAAGTGTCTAAAGAAAAAGCTGACTTTGCTCATTGTCAGCCATGACCTTAAGTGAGTGTTGTTGTCTTTCATCTCACCGTCTAGCTGGGAGTGGTTTCTCCCACATTTTCATTGCGCTCTCAAATTTTTTTCAGTTTTGCATGAATTCGTGTGGATGCAATATTGCTTTCGTTTTGTTGGATTCATTACTTTAATATACATTTTTTTTATTGTTTGTTATATTGAATGTCATTGAATGTGTACCCTAGAGAATTGGCACCTCTGGTTGATCAAACTTGGAGGATGGAAATGGGGGGATCCCTTAAAGTCGCTGAAACTTTTCCCATCTAAGGCATAGGCACAATCTGAGTGATGACACAGGTAGTTCTCATATGCTATCATGGGATCCTATTATGGAGCATGGTTTTCACTTTCACGCCCATAAACAAAAAATAGTTAAGTGTCACAAACTCAAAGCTTTTTCTCTCATTTGATTCGGACTTGTGGAAAAACTAATCAAATCTGTAATTTTTTTAATACAGAAACTCGAATATGTATTGATAATGCTCTGTATAAAAAGATTTACTGTCTCAAAATGGATTGTACCGTTATTATTTTGTTTTCTTGATTGCTTTGGTTTATTTATATCCTTTTATTGATTATTTTATTTGATTACTGTTATGTCTTATGTTATACTCTGTCTTTAAAAACTTTTTATTTTCATTTTTCACTTGTCCTAAAACACTTTTTTCCTTTGAACTAAATGAATGGAAATGTTTATAGTTTTTAGGAGAATTTGTTTGCATGACTTTGTTAGCAACTACATTGGTTTTACAAAACCAAGATATGAGCTCAAGAAAATTACCTCGATGGATTGATTCGGGAGATTCATCATGTCCTCTGAAAGCTAAGTTCTCCCCTAAAAGATATCGAGCCACTTTTACCACAGTTGCTAACCGAGTACAATAATAATCTTCAATGGCATCAGTGTTAGTCGATAAGACATAATCTATGTGCTCTTTTTGATTAAGATATTGTTGAACTTTAATTCTACAATAAGAATGGGAACTTTCTTTGGTCCCTTCATGGTCAACAAATGCTTTTGGACAATCTTTCCAGTTGTTAAATCCAACTTCAGTAAAAACCTTAGATCTATTTCTGTTTGTATTCGCAAACAAATAACAATGCAAAAAATATGCTCTATCCTTGGTGATACTATACTCCAACCACTTAAATTTATCAAAGCAATAAATTTGAAATCGTATTTTGTTCTTTCCTGTCATAATTTGTGGAAATTTATCCATCGATGGCTTACAAGGATCTTCTGCTAAGTATCTTCTCCTTATTACATCTCTAATTTCTAATGGATAACTATTAATTGGATTTCGTAATCTTGGATCAGCAGTAATATCATCATTTGAAACCACACTTTCTTTCTTTATAGAAGAAGAAGCTTTTTTTCATTGTTTTTATCACTTACAAATTTTAAATTCTTCTTTTGTCTAATAACAAATTTATCCATCTCACATCTCAAAATTTCCTGATTCAATAATAAAGTAACAAAATAAAATATCAATAATTTTAAAACAATAATTTCATATATCTTAATCTTTAGAACTTGAAATTACATTAACATTTATCAAATATTTAAATACCAACAAACACATTGAACCACGGAACAAAATAAATATTCAAAAATTTCAAATATTAATAAACAAATCTCGAAATTAGATAATTAAAATTTACATATACCTAGACAATGAGAGAAGATATGAAGATTACCTTTGACTGTCTCCGGTTGCCGGTCGCCGCCGCCGATCACCGCCACCGGCCGTTGCCGGATGCCGCTGCTGACCGGTGATTGACCGGTGTTGCTATTTTATTTTTAATTAGTTTTTTAATTTTCAAAATTAAAAAAAGGTGATTTTTGGTATTCAAAGTAGTGAGTTTTGCTTTATTTCTTTGTGAGCTTTGCATTCGCCATTAGTGAGCTTTGCAGTGTAATATGGTGAGCTTGACGTTATCTCACCGTAAGGTGTCATCTCACTAGAGTCAATCTCCATATATATATATATATATATATATATATATATATATATATATATATATATAT